TAGTACTTAAGAAACAGTACTATTAAGTAAACGGGATTTTATAAATTACAATAAGCCCTTGATTAATATTATTGCAATCTACTTAATTCTATAATTTAGACCTTTTAAGGTGGTTAAATTTCACACTTATTATTAATGAAGTAAGTTTCTTCAGAGCAAATAATACCACTAGCTGTAACACAACAAACTAAGAAAGCAAAACTTGTGACACCTAGTGTAGAGACATGAGTCACCTAAAGCATACCTACAGGCTGGTCTTTGAAGGAGGTAATTTAACAACTGTTCAATTAATATGCAGATGCCTCCTTGCTGACGTGCAGCCAACTGTGAGGTGCTCTCCTGAGACCGTCAAGGAGGAAAGTCAAGGAGGAAAGTGCACACAAAACTTGACTCCAAGTTTTATTGTCATTTCTCATTGTCATTTCTAACACCAACAATACCATGTTAATGTGTTATCTCAATTAATACTCACCATTTTGCAATTGCTCCAGAAAAGTACAGAAAAGTTTTCACTACTGATATATCATTAATAAGCAAAGTTAAGAAAGCATTTATCTTACACAATCATTGATTATCTTTAAGTCTATTTTTTCCTTTTCCAGGAAGATATTTACTTAAGAGCAACTTACATTAAAAGTACAAATAAAATGAGATTATATCTTGATAGGAGCTAATAAGAACTGATTCATAAATACAGGTTTGAGAAAAAGGACTGATACTCAAAGTAAGGGCTTTATTGTAACTTTTTTACATCAATACCTTTTATTAATAGTTTACTAGTTTAAAAACACTCCTCTATACAAATTATCTTGTAATGATTACAAAGAAACTGTGAGGTAAAGAAGGCAGATATTATCATATTTATTTTCAAACGAGTACACCAACGTTCAGGTGATAATAATCTGCCCAGGGTAACAGGCAGCAAATAACAATGCTCTTTTAGAAGAAATTCTTTGAACCAAAATATAGCCAAACAACAACAGACTATCTAATGAAATCTGCTCAACTAAAACACAAAATTATTATTAAAATAATACTGAAAATCTCTAAATGAATAAATTAAGAATAACGGAGGAAAAAATGCCCAATTTGGTTTCCCCTAATATTTCAGCTAATGCTTCCAACAGGACAGTTAAACACTACCATCACAAATCCTCCTTCAGTGAATCTAACTTGTCAAAAGGATAGGAAAAATACATAAATTGTAAAAATAGACAGAGGACACTATCAGTAACCCCAGTCTTTCATGCACAAATATACACAGACAAAGAGGGATCACCAGACACCTGAAGAAAACTAACACCATCAAAATAGAACCAAAATAAACAAACTGAAACAGTTATTCAAAGAGGAGAAAAAGCTTAAAAATAAAATTTAGTGCCCTAGATTAAAGACTGTATTATACCTATAAAATAAGAGCAGATGGCTATGGACTAGAAAAATTCCCAGAAATATAAAGTAATAGCTGAAATAAATAACCCAATAAAGGGCTGGAAGAAAAAGTCAAGGAACAAAGAGAAAAAACAAAGACATGGAAAATGAAAGAAAAACTTCAAAATAGAGCATTGATACAGAAGCTGTAAGAAAAAAAAAAAAGAATACAGAGAACATAAAAGGGAAGAAATAATGAAAGAAATACAGAAGATTTCCCAGGACTGGAGAGAGACATCAGCCTGCAGATTCAAAGGGTCCACCACATGCTTTGCAGGATGAACCAAAAAGGACTATCACTCATCCTCCTTAAATTTCGTAATGCCCAAATAAAGAGGCATCAACACAAAAAGCTTCCAGAGAACAAAAACAGGTTACCTACAAACAAATTATTCATATTAGCATCAAACCTCTTATCAGTAAAATTGGTTACTAAAAGGAAATGGAATGCAACCTTCAAAATTCTGAAGGAAAATGATTTTAAACCTGAATTCTATACCCAGCCAAGGTGTATACCAGGTGTGAAAGTTAAAAGGGCATTTTCAAACATGACAAGCACCCACACACGTTCTTTCTGAGAAAATTACTTCAGGAAGTGCTCTAGAAAAGTGTAAAATAAATCCAAAACCAGAAAAGACATGAAATCTAAGAAAGCACAGAACTTGTCCAAGAATGCAATTAAATAACATGATATTAGCTGAGCATCACACCCAGAAAAAAGTCAGTTCACATTAGAATTTCAACAAATAGTATGATTAGAAAGCTGGATAACGAAGTGATATGATAAAAAAGGCATACGCTTTTCTATCAAGTGAGGGGAAAACATGACAATTAGAAAATCCAGGAAAAACAGTTATAGCCGAAACTAGAAGCCAAACTAAAGGAAGGCATGATCCTGAGTACCAATAGAGTATAAAAATCCATTTGTTCTCTATGGATCCCATCATACTACTTTGTTTAGCAGTGAGTATTATTCACATAATCATCATACTGATTACTGCTTCTCAGCATCAACAAGTGTAACTATTACAAACCCTGACAATATAAAGTGGACATAACTGGGAAGGGAATGTGAGAAATTCAAGGGAAAGACTGTGAGGGGTAGTAATTTTTCTCAACTTATAAAGTGGCAAGTTTAGAGAAGATGTTTAAATACTTTCTAGAGTTAATGGTGCAACAGTTAGAAGCTTAACCATAAAGACCAAAAAAAAAGGGGAGGGGGGAGAGAATAGGTATTAAAAGTCAAAATCCTCATTTTTAACTATGGGGATATACTAGATTACTTAAGATTAGTCAAAACTAAAGTTTAGCATACTATATATAAAATTGGGATAATAATCAGCAGAAGAGTTAAAAATAGAAAAGCTCTAAAATGGTTACCTCTCAGGAGAGAAACTAGTTGGAAGAGGTAGGGGGAAAGAAAGATTTTTACTTTTCATTCTATACTTTTGTGTACTATTCAAATTCTTATGTTTATATGGCTACTACTTCCCAAAACAAATACACAGAGACACACACACATTTCATCAGAAACCCCCCTTCCTAACCAAGGTAGGAAAAACACTGAGAAATTCTTCCTCATTTTTTCTTCTTTCTAAATCTCATGCACTATGTACCAACCTTCTGTTATGGTATTTCAGACGAGACACAATTGATTAAACAGACTCAAGAACCACCCTACATCCTTGATAAAATGTGGTGATAGGAATAGCTTACATTCGTGTTAGAATCATCAAAACACATCCACATGCATAATCTCATTTAATTCTCCCAATAATCTTGTGAGAGCAGATTTAAGCAAAACTCGAAAAGGTTTAAGTGATTTGCCACCCCAAAAAAACCAAGTAGGAAAAATAATATAAATATAATAGACAAATTAAAAAATAAACAAAAAAAACCCTCATATAGCACTGAAATCTGAAAATGCTTTCCAAATTTATAATATATAATGACATAATATTTATAATAAGTAATGACAGAAATTTAACTTAACAATACAAATAGTCGGCTGCTTTGGAATAGAGTTTGGCAGTTTTTATAAAGTTGAACATACACTTACCATATGACCCAGCAATCTCATTCCTAGGTTATTGCCCAAGAAAAATGAAAACACATCACACAAAGACACACTCAAATGTTCATAGCAGTTTTATTCATAATACCAAACACTAGAAACAAACCAAATGTCTATCACCTGGCAAACAGATAAATTGTGGTAATGTCCAGACAGCGGAATACTACTCAACAACAAAAAAGAACCAACTAATGATATCCACAACAACACAGAGGAATCTTTAAAGTACTATGCTATGTGAAAGTAAGGAGGCACAAAGGATTATGTATTGTATGATTCTACTTATATGAAATTCTAGAAAAGCAAGATTATAGCAATGGCAGATGAGTGGTTGCCAGGGTTGAGGGAAGAGGACTGACTATGTAAGGGAATGAGGGAGCTTTTTGGGGTGATACACATGTCCTATATCATGACTGTAGTGTATGTTACACTACTGTATAAATTTAGCAAGATTCATCAGTGCACACTTAAAATTGGTGAATTTTATTATATGTAAATTACAACTCAAAAAGGCTGATTTTTAAAAACTCAATAATACACAATCACATTCAACTATTGACAACAGTTTTTCAGCGCAGGTATTAACTATAGACCTTCAAAGAATATTAAAATCACCATTTAAGAGGTAACTTTTAACCAGAAAATAGATATACAGGAACTTGAAAGTCCTGGGAATGAACAGTCCTCATCCCACTCCACTTGGCCACGTGGATAAACAGGAGTTGCCTGGCAACTAGTCTAAACTCAGATTTCTAGTAAACACACTGACCACAAGCAGGTGATCTCATAGAGGATAAACTAAGCTTTCCATTCACGAGTTCTTCCTTTAATATTAAATAGCAATAATAAATAATATTTATTTAGATAAAGTAGGAGTGAACAAGAAATACTAAAAGTAGATCATGAAAAATAAAAATATGAAATTAAACATAAACACTCACACACAAAAAACCCATTCCTCATTTGGTCTTTTACTTGAGGAGCTCACTTCCCTAACTTATGGGATTGTAGAATCCAGGAGTTTGTTGGTGAACCCTTCCCCCTTTACTACTTTAAGGCCCTCCCCTGCCACCAACCAAATTGGCTTCATATAAGTGAATACTTTTATTTATATATCTATATGTCTTTAAATGCATACAAGTTAGACACTTTTCTAGATATTAAATCATTCTACAGACAACTTTCTGGATTGTAGAATCTGTGGAAAACACAAAAAAATACAACACAGACTTTCTGTAACATGCATGCACACAACATACCAGAAAGCCAAACCTTCATAACTTTGATTATAAATGATCAAATTCAAGAATTATAAAGCATCACTAAATAACAAGCAAATTTCTAACACACATGTTAAATATCATTTCTCTTACTGGATATAGCATATCACAGTTTACTTTGCTAACAGCATTAGAAAAAATATCAACTTCCAGGACACCACTAGCTGTGAGCACACTTACCAACCATATCATTTTCAGTTGTGTTGAACACTTACCCCTCTTCTGAACCCAGCCTTCTTTCACAATGGTAACATCGCTCATGATGGCTCCCCTCTGAGCCCCCGACTTGGAGAAATGGTACTTTGTGGTATCAGCTTTGGGGTTTGGATCCTCTGCTGCCGCTGCCCTTCCCACTCTCTAGTGATGACTCAGCCTGGAAGGAAGTATTGAAGAAAGAATTTCTTTTTTTTTCCATTCTTGCAACTCACATAGCAATAACAAACAACTAATTCTTTGTAAATGTCTTCAACTGGCCTGACCTCACATAAAAGTCTTGCTCTTCAAACTGGGGAACTTATTTATTAAATACTTCTATAATGAATGCACTTCCCTGGTCTTGTGACGGATTTCAAATGATAGTGAAACTTCTAACCTAAGAGGTTGCAACAAAAAATGTCTTAAGAAAACCACTGTCACACCTACACAAATAATACAGAAAATTTGTTTGGTGCTCTGTTTGAAGTGAAAAGAGAAGAGAATGAAAATTAAGTGAACTAAAAGTAAATCTTCATGCATGTCTAGTTTCAAAATCCCTGTAAATTCAGAAATAGTTATGGCAAAGCAATTGTGAATGTTTTTAATTGCTGTATTTCATGTAAAATACAATGTATTAAGAAACCAACATTTATGTATGCTTACTCTGCCTTGTCCCAAGAAATATTTTAGGTAGATTACAATAAATAAAACATTATAAATATAAAATCAATTGTCTTTTAAAGTAGACGAAATGAAACAAAGGAAATATGAAAGTTGAAAAAAGTATGGAGTGTTCAAGATGTGTCAAGAACTATCACAGGTGCTTACATCTATTATTCTCAGGTAATCTTCACAATAACCCTACCAGGGTACGTACTATTAACTCCATTTCACAGATGGGGAAACTGAGGCTCACAGAGAGTAAGCAGATTGCCCGACTTCAACACAGCTAAATGAATGATGGAGCCAAGATCTGAACCCAGGCTGTCTGACTTCAAAGCCTGCATTCTTAACTTCAAAACTATACTGCCTTAAAGATAAAAAGAAGCCAGAATAAAAGTCTACGTATTTGTGAAAGGCCACAAATTTAGCACGAAGCTTTCAGGAAGCAATGCAAATAAGGAAACACAATCAGTTTCAATATTTACAGTATCCATAAATATTTTTAAAAAGAAGTTGCTCAAAAGAATACAATTCTTCCTGGGACAAAAATCTAAATTTATCCCATGGGTCTTTATAAGACCTTGTAGTGCAATAAACAAAGTCCTCAAAAATATCCTCACATATACACAGCAATGAGTTTTCCAGGGCTATTTCTTATTGTCCTCTCAACCTAAAAACGAAAATGCCAAGATAAAATTGAGTTAAAGCATTTTGACAGAAAGGACCCAAAAAACGTGGTCCAGGTACACCAGCATTATGAGGTCCAGAAACACAGGTATAAATTTCAGATAACCAGAAAAATAGATGGATGGACTATATAACTATACTATTTTCTCAAATTGCGTTTTGGTAAATAGTGCACAGCAGTAAATCCAAGGTCAGACTCCCTAGCTAGTACTGAACTGAATTACTGCTCATTTTCCAATGCAAATAAGGTGCAGAGCCTAATCATTTGGCAGTCAGGAATCAAGACAAACATTATCTCAGGAAAGCGTGACAAAGTCTGTGTGGCTGAAGAGAAGATCACCCCCTCGTGTGCCACGGGGCTGAGGGCAAAACCAAGGCTGTCCTCAAAATCATCAGAATCTGCTACTGTAGAGAGTCAAAGGGGTATCAGAATCTGGGTTTGAGAAAATATATTTGACAAAATACTAAGAGAAATTCCAGAAAAACTGAAGAAAAAGATGAAAAAAGAAAAAAAAATTCTCTGGTCAAATGAGTTTGGGAAATTGTACAAACCACATCTTTCTCTTGAAACATCACTATTAACATATTAAAGGTGCAAAATATGTATAACCTTATTTATCTCAGCAAATCCTAAACTTACTTGAACACACAGGGCTCTTTTTTTTCCCTTCAGTGACATGTATTGACATCCAGAGGAACACACTTTGAGAAACGGCCATAGGAAATGGCCACATAATCCAAGACAAGACCCATTTCGCCGTTAAAAATAGGGGGGAGGGGCCGGCCCCGTGGCGTAGTGGTTAAGTACGAGCACTCCACTGCCGGCGGCCTGTGTTCAGATCCCGGGCGCGCACTGATGCACTGCTTGTCAGGCCATGCTATGGCGACATCCCATATAAAGTAGAGGAAGATAGGCACAGATGTTAGCCCAGGGCCAATCTTCCTCGGCAAAAACAGAAGGATTGGCATTGGATGTTAGCTCAGAACTGATCTTCCTCACAAAAAAAAAGGGGGGGGGGCGGCAAAGAAAAACTTCAGTAAAGAATCCAAACATCACTTTAGGAGCTGGCCCAGTGGCACAGCGGTAAAGTTCAGCACATTCTGCTTCAGCGGCCCGGGCTTCCTGGGTTTGGATCCCAGGTGCAGACCTACACCACTCATCAAGCCATGCTGTGGTGGCCACCCGTATACAAAATAGAGGAAGATGGACACAGATGTTAGCTCAGGGCCATTCTTCCTCAAGCAAAAAAGAAGAGGAAGACTGGCAACAGGTGTTAGCTCAGGGCCAATCATCCTCACTAAAAAAAAAAAAAAGAACCCAAACATCACTTTAATTTATGTAACTTCCTGAAGAACTCAACATGGTCAACTAGCTACACAATACAGAGCTAGATAATCGAAAGAGTTAACTCTTTATATTGTATAAATAATTATAAGGAAGTTAAATATTGGGAACACTAGTACAAAATGATGTCTTTAGAAGAGCTGCGCTGTAGATCTTCTCTTTGGTCATACTTGTAGCAAGGGGCCTCACATCTATTAAAGCCATTCTTTGGCTTCTGACTATGAAATTACATAATCTAGGTAAAAGAAAATTAATATCCTGATGTTCTTGGAAATGGAAGAGATCAGGGATCAGTATTTAGTAACAACCAAAAAAGAATATATATCCAGTAAACATATATAAAATACATACTTTCCTATTAAAATAATCCACATTATTATAATACCCTTATAAAGAACACTAGAAAAACCAAAATATTTTCAAAATTAATTCTGTTTTTTTAAGTGGACATTTCACTGTTAGAATCCTAAAGCTGGAAGGGAGCTTCACTTCACAGTTGAGGAAACAGGTCAAGACAGATGAAGTGACTTGCCCAAGGGCACAAAGCTACCTGATAAGAGAGCCAAGACCAGAGAACCAGGCACATGCTCTTTCCACTAGCACTGCCTCTTCAGCACAAGACAATATACTGAAATAGCCAGATCAACCCAAAATCAATGAATCTTGTTTTATAATGAAACTGTTTCAAAAAACTAGTTTTTTAGACAAAAATGTTTATCAGTGTTTATATATTTAGATTAAACTGTTAAAATGTATGTTACATCAATAGGACAAAATTTATCATCTTCTTCAGGGCCAGTGAACCCATACATTATAGAGATGGCTTTATCCATTTGTGTCTTAAAATGTTACCAAATCCTACCCATAATCATAATTTTCAGCTTTAAAATTACTCCTGGGTCTCTCTACTGGCTAAAATGATACATTCTTTGAAGATAACTTAAAAGATATTCAAAGGCATACTAGAATTATGATCAATAGGCTAGAAATAAATGCTGTCTTTTGTGTATAAAAACAACGCTATTGATTCTTAAGCGGTAAACCACATTCTTCAATTTTCCTACAGTGACAACGCTCTTGCACCAAGTCATCTACACTCTCCCCTTCAGTCTTCCATGTTACTAAAAACACTAACCTGCAAAATTAGCAGAGGACTTCAGCCCTGTAATCTGTTTCCTAAGGTAGAATGAACTTCACCCCCGCTACAGTCCTAACTTCCCCAGAAATGTGTTCTATTCAATGAGCTATAATAGACAAAATTTGGTTTATTTTTCTTTTGAGCCTATTGCATTAAACATTTCATTGCTGGATAATCTAATTTTTCCCATTCTTATAAAAAGTTTCACACAAAATTCTTGGCAGATTCAATTTAGAATTTACATGAAACAGTTACACTAAAGGTACTTTCATTCAGAACTATTTGAGAATTTGATGATAACTGCATTTGAATGTCATGTTACAATTTACAAAACATTTTCACATCTTTCGCCTCATTCGATAGCATAATTATTTAGTAAAGCAATTTGATAGTGCCTGGCACATAAGAGATACCCAACAAATACAGAATAAACGAGTGGATGAACGAAAGAATAAAGATGAAGCTTGAGATAACTAATAAACAATAGACTAAGCAAACTAACACTGTAAGTCAACAGAGAGAATGTTATCAAGCCATCTTAAAAACAAACCTGAACTTAAAAGATTATGGAAGCAACTACACATAAATAATTAAAATTATACTACATATTCTTCCCTATTCATTAAAGTATGTTTCCTATGGACCACCATTAACTGTAAGGACTAGAACACATTAAATTTACTTTTTCTTGACATTTTTTGACACTTTTTGTTTAGATGGTCGTTTCAATTCCCAAACAAATCAAGCATCAACACTGCCCAAAACTATCCATTATGAGAGGAAAAAAGAGAAAGAATGGCATATTTTCTTAATGATACTTAAAAATTCTTTTTAAAGATATTTGTTTACTTATGGCAACGAACCATTCAATTTTAAGCAATAATAAACTTCAAACATCTTTTAAAAATATCATTCACTCAAGAAAACATATAATATACATATATTTATTCAGTCAATTAATATGTATTGATTGTCTACTCTGAGACAAGAACAATATTGACTATACAGGGAGGTAAGCAAAGCAAAGTATTTAAAAATCTTTTCCAAACCTATCATAATTTATCAAAGTGCTTTCACATATATTACCTCACTTGACTCTAAAAACAAATCTGTGCAGTAGCTATTGTATCTACAATTTTCAACCTAGGAAAACTGTGACCGATCAACAATAATGACGTTATTTCCCCACAGTTACCACAACAAGTTAGTGACAAGTAACAAGAGGACGACCTGCCGTTCAAGTATGCTTTCTACCAAATGACAATACAAACTCTCAAAAACATGGATAAAATTTACAAATAGTTCTGAACATGTTTTTCTGTATCAAATTATTTTTCAGAAGTCCAGTTAAATACAATGTTTCTGCACAAA